ATTTTATATATCAATAAGTCATTAATAATTTTAAGTAATTTCTTATTGATGTTTAGAATAATCGTCTTTTTTTTCTTCGTATTTAGTATAAATTTATTAAATAAGTCATAAAGATTGGAGCTTTGACTGAGGCAATTGTTAAATATTAACTCTTACTTGCTTTTCGACATTTACATTTTTAACGTTATAAAATTACAAGTATATTTTATACTTAGTGAACAATTTATATTAGTGAACAATTTATTATATGTAAAAACCTCATATCGCTGTCTCTCGCGTCAGATGGATGTCAGTGATCACGTGGTTTGTATCGATGGAAAGTCGAAATTGTTTTCATCATGGAGAATTATTCCTCGTCGCTTTTCATGAAGTTCATTCGCGAAGTCTAGTTTGGTGTCTCTTATGCAGGATTGGAATTAATCTCGGGTTTTCTCATCTGCAGTTATTGATAGTAACAATTTCGTTAATGAGTCATTGATAATTGCTATATATTTTGAAGTCCAGTTGTAACATTAATTTAGTGATATATTTTAGCATATAATTTTCACTTTCTTTGATTTATTAAATGTTCTCCCACTAGTAATAATAATATTAGCAATAGTACACTGTTAATAACAATAGAAATTTATAGTGTTATATAATTGATATGGATATATAATTATTATTTGTTTAAATTCAAATTAAGTACAAACAAATTTAAGTTTTATACAAATAATTTGCTTATAATTTTTCGATGATTGTTCTAACAAAAATACGGTTACGAATGTATATATTTAATTTTCTAACTGTTATTTTACAATTATTTTTAGGTATTGGACATCCCGCCATTGCAGAATATTTTTAGTTATTAATTTATATACATTTTTTAATGATAAAATACATGCAGATATTATGAGATTATGTTAAACGAATATTGATTTTTGTCGATATTTATTTAACTTTTTTCAAAATTTTTTATAGTTAACAATGTCATCGTGATTATATGATAATATTGAATTTTAAATGTGTGGATACAAAAAATTCGAGATAAGTCGAATGGGTACCCTCATATTAGCGGGATATTAATAATTTGTAATTTTTGAAAAATAAAAAATTAGTTAAATTTTATATAATAAATTTTTCATTATAAATGTTCTTTAAAATCCCGTTATTATCGGGTTCGACTCATCTCGAACAGTTAATACTCGAGAAATTTTTGTACCCATACATATAAAAAATTACAATAACGTATGTATTTTATTATTATTAAATATATTCTTTCGTAACCACTATTGCATAAGGAAATCATTCTATCCATTTATTTTTAATAAGAGATGATTTTTAGTCACGTGTGGCAGAACATATTTTCTCATGAATTTTAATATTATATTAAAGATAAGATGTGATAAAAGTAATTGTAATTGTAATTGATATGCTATCAAAATTATTACTATCGCTAAGTTGTCTGAAAGATTCGGAATTCACATTCGCGTCCTGTAACAAGATCATTGGTATTTGATGGCTTGCTTAACTTTTCTTTGCAAATGGATCTTGTAAAATTTATGTTGAATCAGAATAATTAAGTTTTTCGCTTTTCACGATGAAGATTGTTCTTCTTTGCATCGGATACTAATCAGCATTCCACGAGACGGAGGGATTTTGATATGAAATTATTGAGATAGTTATCTTGAATGCGATGAAAGTGCTGTTATAAATATATTAATGACTTTTTGTCGCGATATTATTAAATTTTATATTCGCAAATTATTAGTGAATACTTAATTAATAATAAATAATTAATAGTAAATACGATCTAATTATTAGTATTTTTTCTGCGTTTATCAATATTTCATTGCTATCGTATGTATTTTCGTATAATCTCGCAAAACTTACAAAAATTTATTAATTATGTTCTTATATTATCATTTTTATTATATCTTGAATAGCATTGATAATTGTAAATAATTATTATAATTGTAATATCGAATTGTATAAAGGATAATACAATAAAGAATAATTAAAAATTATTGCAATTTCATTAGCGAAATACAATAAAATAATTAGATATAAAAACAAAAAAATAAATTAAAGATGGATTTACCTCCCAGCAAACGAGAATGAATTTAAATGGATTGAAATTTTTTTCTTATTTTTCATGAAAATGCGTATTTTAAATAGCGAATATTTTTTTTGAATTTAATTGGATTCAATTGGATTCAATTAGATTCATGCAATTGGATTGAGAAACTGCTTTTCTATTCAAAATTTTGAATTGAACAGTATTTACAATGCATAGAAAAAGCTAATATTATTTTTAGATTGAAAGGCATAGATATGCAATTTCTACAAATGAATAAAAATTCATTCAGAATTGAAAAGCATTCATTTTAACATTCGTGAATCAATATTTGTGAAAATCTGAATTCGTTTCAATCCACTCTCGTTCGCTGGGGTACAAAATTTATTAATAGCTTGTTTGTTTTATGGGTGAGTATACTTATAAAGAAAACAGGACCGCCAGTGTAAAATTGACGGGGATGGAGAGCCTTTATAGCTCATTTTTGCTAAAGTCCCAACAAACGAGAATGGATTGAAATAAATTGAAATGGATTCAGATTTTCAGAAATATTAAAATTAACATTCGTGCTTTTCAATCCTGAATGCATTTTTATTCTTTTATAAGAATTGCATGGAGCATATCTCTATATCTTTCAATTTAAAAATAATATTAGCTGTGCATAATAATACAATTGTGAATACTGTTCAATTCAAAATTTTGAATAGGAAGTGCAATTTTTCAATCCAATTGCATCTAATTGAATCCAATTAAATCCAATTGAATTCCAATTAAATCCAAAAAGAAGTATTTGCTGTTTAAAATATGCATTCGGATATAAAAAAATTTCAATCCATTCTCGTTTATTATCGCTGGATTATTCTGTTTTGTTTTAATTTTTGAAACTAGAAAAATGGGCATTAATGTTCGTTTCCACTAATGTAGATTAACTTTAATTTCGATTAATTTTAACTTACTCTTCCTCTTTTTCTAACTCTCTTTAGAACTAGAAAAAGATGAAGAGTAAATTGAATCGAGATTAAAATTAATCTACATTGGTGAAAACGGGCGTAAATGAAATAAAAATCACGCGCATGTAAGATGAATATTTCTGATCCACAGTTCGTGAATGTAATACTATTATATAAACTAAAATATCGATTTATTATCTGCCCTGAAAAATAGACGATGTACTCTAAGAAAATTGGACGTTGCTATGTAGTTTAGATCCACTTCAGGTCAGAGGACAGTAGTGCGCGGCAGCATTTTACAAGTTTTGGGTGTCATGTCCTCTCTCACCTTTCTTTCTGGTACATACAGTATGGAAATTTTTTAGATGGTCTCCATTTTTTAATGCGCATACGTCGGTTTTCAATCAGTCTGCCTTCAATAAATTGAAATGTTAGGTTATGTGTTATATTGAAATGTTAGGTTAGCTGGATTTCCTTCCCATAAAATGTAATTAATAAAATTAAGTTTTACTAAAAAATTAAATCAAATTTTTTCGGAGACGCTATATTGTGTAGACTATTATATTTGTATACGATAAAGTACTCTCGTATTAAAATTTGCATTTCTGTGTACGTATATTATTAAATTATAACTTTACGTTTAATTATAATTTTCATGCAATATATTATTTTTCATACATAATTATTCAATTTTCATATAGTATTTAATCAATTATTATTTTTAATTTACTTATTACTGTTTAATATTATTATTATTATTATTATTAATACGAATATTATCTTTATGTATATAGCGAGTTTGTTAACATATTATTATATAAATCCGATTTAAAATACTCGCTATAAACAATTTTCATGACACGAGCGAATTATGTTTTCTTTTAAAAAAAATCATTTTATAGTTTTATAAAAAACTCAAATTTATAAGCGCCTTTCCAATCCATAATATGGCGGCGAGTCATGTGACCTGGGACTTACTACATCAAAGGTGCCGACGGTGTCTATACTGTATGTACTTATAAATGTGTTATATGCTCTAAGGTTTAATCGCTCTAACGTGAGAATATGTTACAATGGCGGGGTCTATAGAGATACCACTCCGCGATACAGACGAGGTGAATATGTCTTTTTTACTGATTATATCATTAATTTACGATATCTATACGTGATCCTGAGTGCAATGAAATTGGAAGACTAAAATTTTTGCAATAATCAGCGATATCCATACAGACCTAACCTCAAAATAACGACACGCTTCTCCTGATTGAATAAATATTATATTTCATGTGCATGCATTCGGATAGCAATATGTTGCTTTAACAGCTCGGCGTTAATAATTTATTTCTACTTTGTTTACTTTAACTCTCTTATTCACCCCGTATATGTTTGTATGTATCATTGAGTTTTCTTTGTAATAATTGCATATTATGTATTTGTAAGGTTGCAAGTCTATAATTTTGTATATAAAATACAAATTCAATTTCATCTGCTTTTAATTTTTTTACCTGTAACAATGGTACAAATGTGAATCTTAAGTTTAATATTCCAGCTAAAATATAATCTAATATCACTTGCATAATTCCCTATCAATACATTTGTACGAATGTGAATCATAAGCCTGATGACTTTCCATTTAGAATATAATTCAATATCACTTGCATACTTTCAAATACTGTTAATAATCTTTTCTGTCTGACAATTGTATTGTCAATATAGCTTTCAATCCAAAATATAATCGTACTTATGTGTTTTAAATAATTCTTGTAGTAATTGTCTTATACACTGGATAATTGTGATTATGCAAATTATAATTTAAATATCACACTTTCCTATTTATCTTTATTCTCATGTTATGATCCAAATATTGTTTGTTCCATGGATTTTGCATTTCATGGATACTTCGATATCATGCAGTTATTAAATATCATATAGTTATATAATAATAGATAAAATGTAAATAATTAATTTTATAGATCAATATAAACACTCTACTATCAGATATACATCAGAAAATGATAGAAATATAAAATATTCATATGTAACTTTTCTATCATTATTTCCATGTTAATATATTATGTTTTAAATATTATTTATTTTATGAATGTTTAATATTACAATGCAATTATATGATAATATGTTAGTAAAATGTAATAATCTTCTGTATCTACCAATATCAATATTAACATAAGAAAATGACAGAAGTGCATAATAATTATACATTCATACAATTTTCCTGTTTTTCCTTATTTCTGCAATATGTAACTTTTATATTTTTATATTTTTTATTATATTTTTTATTAATTCTATAATATTATGATCCAAATGCTTATTTCATTTTTATCTTATTTGTAATGCAATTATATCAATGCGAACATTAAATCAGAAAATGATAGAATTACGAGATATATTCGTATATATCTTTGCTAAAATTGTAATTGTTCTTGTCAATCTCATAGGTCATAGAACTTTATTTAGATCAGTTACCAGATGGAGATGAAGTTCTGGGGATTCTGCGACAGGAACATGCTCAACTTAATATCTGGGTCAATTTGGCCGTATGTATAGAACAGATAATTCTAAATAGAAAAGGGATATAGTAGTTAGTATCTATCTAAGTTTATTTCTTATTTCAGCTTGAATATTACAAGCAACAAAAAATTGATGACTTCATTAAGATACTTGAATCTTCTCGTATCGATGCAAATATTGATTATCGTGACTATGAAAAAGATCAGATGCGAGCCCTTGACATGTTGGCTGCCTATTATGTCCAGGAAGCCAACAAAGAAAAGAATAAAGATAAAAAAAGAGATCTCTTTACAAAAGCTACATTATTGTATACAACAGCTGACAAGATTATCATGTATGATCAAGTACGTATTATCATATGCGTTTGAATAGTAATATCCATAGTAATATCTTAATTTTTATATTTATCGTTTTTTTTATTGCAGAATCATTTACTCGGTCGAGCTTATTTCTGCCTGCTCGAAGGTGATAAAATGGAGCAGGCTGATGCACAATTTAATTTTGTACTAAATCAATCGCCAAATAACATACCTTCTCTGCTTGGCAAAGCTTGCATTGCTTTTAACAAAAAAGATTACAGAGGTGCCCTTGCATTTTATAAGAAAGCCCTTAGAACTAATCCAAACTGTCCAGCTGCTGTTAGATTGGGAATGGGACATTGTTTCATGAAGTTGAATAATCAAGAGAAAGCGCGACTTGCATTTGAAAGAGCTTTACAGTTGGATGGACAATGCGTCGGTGCGCTAGTTGGCCTTTCGGTCTTGAAATTAAATCAGCAACAGCCCGACAGTATAAGAACCGGCGTGCAAATGTTATCGAAGGCTTACACGATCGATTCGACAAATCCGATGGTGCTAAATCATTTAGCGAACCATTTCTTTTTCAAAAAAGATTACAATAAAGTTCAACATTTAGCGTTGCACGCATTTCATAACACAGAAAACGAAGCTATGCGAGCAGAAAGTTGCTATCAACTAGCCAGAGCATTTCACGTCCAAGTAAGCATAAAGTAGTAATTAATGTTATTTATGTCAATATTGCTTTTTTTTGTTAATTAAGAAAACATATTTCAGGGTGATTACGATCAAGCATTTCAATATTATTATCAGGCAACGCAGTTTGCTCCGCCTGTATTTGTACTGCCACATTTTGGATTAGGACAAATGTATGTTTATCGTGGTGATGCAGAAAATGTAAGAACATGTAATATACATTACTTAAAATAATTATTTGTATTAGGTATATATAAAATAATAATTTATTCCTCTAATAAAAGGCAGCCCAATGCTTCGAGAAGGTCTTGAAAGCACAACCAGGAAATTACGAAACAATGAAGATTCTCGGTTCGCTCTATGCTAATTCGAGTTCCCAATCAAAACGAGATATTGCAAAAAATCACTTGCGAAAAGTAACAGAACAGTTTCCTGACGATGTCGAAGCTTGGATCGAATTAGCACAGATATTGGAGCAAAGTGATCTGAATGCAGCCTTGAATGCCTATGGAACCGCGACCAGAATTTTGAAGGAGAAAGTTCAAGCGGACATACCGCCGGAGATTTTGAACAACGTGGGAGCGTTACATTACAGGTACGTGTATATTTTTATTTTGTATATTATAGTAATTGATGATTTACTTCTTAGACTAGGTAACTTGGAGGAAGCCAGGAAAAATCTAGAGGAATCTTTGGCACGTTCAAAAGCAGACGCCTTACATGATTCTGTATATTATAATTCGATAGCAGTGACTACGACGTATAACTTAGCTCGACTTAACGAAGCGTTATGTGTATTCGATCGAGCAGAGAAACTGTACAAGGACATTTTAAAGGAGCATCCGAACTACGTGGATTGTTATTTGAGACTCGGCTGCATGGCGAGAGATAAGGGACAGATATACGAAGCGTCCGATTGGTTCAAGGACGCTTTGAGAATCAATAACGAACATCCGGATGCATGGTCATTGCTGGGTAATTTACATCTAGCCAAGATGGAATGGGGTCCTGGCCAGAAGAAATTCGAGAGAATTTTGAAAAATCCGACAACGAGCACCGATGCTTACTCTTTAATAGCATTGGGAAATATTTGGCTGCAAACATTACATCAAAGTGGAAAAGACAAAGAAAGGGAGAAGCGACATCAAGATCGAGCATTAGCCATGTACAAGCAGGTAACTATTATCTAATTCAATTTATCTAGATTTAATATTAACTAGATTAAAATATTTCTAATTATAACTAATATGATTTGCTAGGTTCTGAGAAATGATCCGAAAAACATCTGGGCTGCAAATGGTATCGGTGCAGTACTCGCGCATAAGGGTTGTGTAAATGAAGCTAGAGATATATTTGCTCAAGTGCGCGAAGCAACGGCAGAATTCTGTGATGTTTGGTTAAATATTGCACATATCTATGTGGAACAGAAACAATTTGTCAGCGCTATTCAAATGGTAGATAATATATATAGTTGCTACAACAGAAGTAGTTAATTCAACTTAACTAATTTAATATTTTACATTGCAGTATGAAAATTGTTTGCGAAAATTTTATAAATACCATCATGTTGAAGTTTTGCAATATCTTGGACGAGCTTATTTTAAAGCTGGCAAGTTAAAAGAAGCAAAATTAACGTTATTAAAAGTAATTAGCCATATATGTGATTTTTTAAGATTTTATTTTATTTTAATATTTCATGTTAATATTTAATTTGTCGATATATTTTTAGGCACGCCGAGTAGCTCCACAAGATACCGTCTTATTGTACAATATTGCTCTTGTACTTCAACGATTGGCCACGCAAATTCTTAAAGACGAGAAATCAACTTTGACCACCGTATTGCAGGCAGTTCATGAATTAGGTCTCTCACACAAATATTTTCAGTATTTGTCAGCGCACGGCGACAGGATGGAACAGCTGGCGGAAGCTGAAGCTAGGAGGTGTCAAGATTTATTATCACAAGCGCAGTATCATGTCGCTAGAGCTAGAAGGTTGGATGAGGAAGAGAAGATGTTAAGACGGAAGCAAGAAGAAGAAAGGTATGTCACCATCGGATATTCTTTATACGCTTATCACTAAATTATCTAAATTTATAGGCAAGCCTTCAAAATGCGTCAGACGGAAGAGCAACGCAAGCTGGAAGAGATGCGTCGCCAAAAAGAAGAGGAGATGTTGCAAAAGCGACAAGAATATGTGGAGAAAACTAAGAACGCGCTGGTATTCGGCGAAATGCCGTCAGAGAAACCCGGAAAAAAGGGCAAGAGACTTCGAACTGATCAGTATGTTAGTGATAGTGGAGGCTCTGATAGAGATGAAAGCAGAGAAGAAATACCGAAAGAAAGAAAGCGTAAAAGGAAACCTAGCAGTGAAACTAAAGATAGGAAGAGCAAAGGTAAAGGCAGACGCAGGAAGGATGGAAGTGGCAATAGCGGTAAAATAATTAAATTTTATTTTATTTTACAATAATTAATCAAGTACAAATTAATGGCTATGTAAAGTCAAACACTTTTTCGGTGTCAATTATGAACAAATATATCTTTGATACAAAAAATTCGAACGTTTTGGTCCCATTATTTGGATCATCAGTGATAATATAATTTACAAATGTTAATCAACAGTTAGTCGACAGAGATTAATTATATATTGTCCTCTTATTTGTAACAAATTTCTGTTGACAAATAAGAGAACAATATATATTAATATTATAGCGTTTCAACATCATTCTCTTTAACATTAATTAACATTTGTACATTATATTATCGCTGATGATGGTCCAGATAAATTGAAACGTTCGAATTTTTTGTATCAAAGATATATTTGTTGACGCACCGAAAACAGCGTTTGACTCTATATAGCTATTAATTTGTACTTGATTAATTATTATAATTTATATTTAGCATAAGAAGTCTTCAATTTTGGTTATTATTATTTATTTTATTTTTCCATAGCGCTATAAAATTACTCGTTTTGATTATGAAGTTTAATATTTTCATAAAATTAAAGAAATCATTCCGAAAATATGTATTTTACAGGATCTGATAGTGATCAGCCGAAACAGAAACGTAGCAAGAAGAACGCAAGGACTAAAAAAGAGAAAACTCGTAAAGGCGTAGTTGAAACTCTTAAGGGTAAGCTGGTTAAATCGAAGGAAACTATTTCGACGAGCGAGTCAGACAGCGATACGGGTGGCCTTAAAATCGCTAGTGGGTAAGTACGATATGTTATCTTAATATTATATGATTATCTCTAATTTTAGAATTCATTAAATCAGAGTTGATTTGATTTTTTTTTTATGGATTGATATCATGTTTACTATTTTTAAATTATATTCTAAATAGTATTAAATATTAAAACATCTTAATAAATATATTAATTTCTTAGTTTATCATACTCAACAAAATATCATGTTAAACTTTGTGTTATTTTTATAGCGGCGAAAGCGGCAATGAGAATCAACCGCACAGCAGCAAACGAATCGCATCCGATTCCGAAGGCTCTCGCGCCTCACGCTCGAGATCTCGTTCAAGGTCGAAATCCGGTAGCCGTTCAAGAAGCAGTTCACGTTCAGCTTCTCGTTCGCGATCTCCATCACGATCGCGCTCTCGATCTCGATCTGCTTCAGGATCCAGATCAAGGAGCGTTTCAAAATCAAGAAGTCGGTCGGTATCCGGGTCAAGATCAGGGTCAGCCAAAAGCAGATCAAGATCGAGGTCAGGTTCGCACAAAAGTGGCTCGCGATCAAGGTCTAACAGTGGCTCGCGAAGAAGTGAATCAAAACCAAGATCAAGATCGAGTTCAAGAAAGAGTGGTTCAAGGTCACCAAGCGGTTCAAGAAAAGGCGTATCGCCGTCAAGATCCAAAAGTGGCTCGCGTTCAGGCTCGGAAGAACGCCAGTCAAGAAGCAAGAGTCGATCGCGGTCTAAATCGAAATCTGTTTCAAGGTCTAAATCAAGATCGAGGAGTGGTAGCAGGTCGCGATCGCGCTCTAGATCGAAGAGCGGTTCTCGAAGCCGGAGTCCGAGCGGATCGGCACGGTAAGTTTATTTTTTTACATACTACAATTATAAATATATAAAAGTTTTTTTTTGCGTATATTACACGTATTTTTTTTCACAGTTCTGCATCCCCGGTGTCTAGAAAATCAGTATCGGGAAGTGGCGGTAGTGATAGTGAATAAATCAGCCGTTCTCACAATTGTAATATCACAATGAAAAAAAGATTATACTTAAATAACACACTTAAATACATAATTTGTGTGAAGATCGCTTTACAAAGTTCTTTTAATACAAACGGGAAATAAATGTTTATCATCTCTGCTGGATTTATTTCTTTTGTAATTTTATTGTGCAATTATCTTTTAAATTTTCATCCATTCTTTTTTTATTTAATATATTATTTAATATATTATTTTGAGCAACTATCTGTCACATTTCGCCACACGCACACACACACACACACACGCACGCACACACACACACACACACACACACACACACAACTGATAGAATATATTAACAAAATTATAAAAATAAATATTGAGAGACCAAATACTTTAAAGTTAACTATGGCTTTCGCACAATCTCTTATATGCATAGATTATTTTTTTCCTCTGATTTTTTCTTTATCTTAAAAATTCTTATTGTTATTTTATTTTCCCTATTAATAATAATAATAGTAAAGCAAAATGACTTTGTGTATTATCGTATATAGTATATTATAGCATTGCGGCGGTAACAATATGTGAAAAAATACAAGACAAAATTGTACCTACAATTCACAATAAAATAAATTTTATAATACAATACTAAATAAAAAACAACGAAATTATACATTGGATTATTTCCTTAACTTTGATCAGACGAAGAAATAAACTCGCGTAAAGGAGCAGTGTCTTACGCCATGTCTTAGCGCTGAGACACTATCGTGTCTCCAGATAAGCAGAGCGACACAGAAAGATTATCGGATATATATTTATCTATATATTTCTGCCCCCAGATAGTATCAATATCACTCTCTTTCTTAAGTATCTTCGCCGTTTCGTATATATAAGTTCAGCAATTCATGATGAGAATTCGCAGAGAATTTAAGTCCTTAGTATTGGAAATAATTAATTCTCAAGCTTATTCTGATTTTATCGAAATGTGCTTCGACACAGGTTTAACAAACACTCTAAAATTAATAGTTGAATAGCTAAATTTCATATAATAATTAAATTGATTAATCATACTAGAGAAATTTACTTTCGAAATTTTGTACCAAGCAACGATTTTATCATCAAGTAACAAAGATACATATTGGATTATTTAAGAACTTAATAAAAAAATTTCTCCAAGTTTTTGGATCATTAAATAAATTTAATTATTAACGTATATTCTGCGTAAATTAACCTTTAGAAAATTATTTATATTCTGACATGGTATTTTATTGACTTTTAAGGCTTATAATATTCTGATCGAAGTCGAAATGTTTATGACTGATTTGACCAATTTTTATTTAATTATATCTTAATAAAATCAATAAATTAAAATATATAAAATATTGCGCTACTAATATCTTGCGTTGTAGTATATGGCCTTTATATTTATTAAGAAGAAATTTTTTTTCGATCCGAATTTTCGAAACTAAAGACTTCACGAGACTAACACTTGAACGAATTGTGAAACGTAAATGTAAAACAGTTAATATTCGCTTAGCCAGACGGTCGACGCTAAGTTTGTATATACTCGTACATTGTTATGCAAATATAATTAGATGTCGTGAGAGGAGCAGTGCGCATATCGATTTCATAAGCGGTGTAAAATAAATTATTAACACTCATTCTCGAGGTGAATGACATTCGTATAGTCGGCGACTACTTATTTTACTTAAGGCTCGTCTACATAGAAGTCGTAGACGATTGTGGGATCTTAAGTCATTAAGTAGGAAATTGATCAATTTTCTACGAAGATCCTGCGACCGTCTACGACGTCTATGTGGAGTCTTTTTATATGCCGATGTCAAATCGCGATTTTTTCTTTTCCATTTTAATTTTTTTACCTTTTCAAACGGCGATTCTTTGATTTGTTATCTCGATATTGTCTTTTTTCCGAAAGTTTAGAACTTATCAGTAATATAATATATAATAAGTATAAAATAATTCCTTTTATTTTTCTGAAAATATGGTAATTTTTAAAATATAATTACATCTATATTGCACATTTAAATGAAATCGTTAAATATTTTAGTATTCTATTTGAAGTTATGATAATGGATTAACGAATAAATGATAACACGTAATGTTTTTGCAATAAATTCGTTTCAGTTATATTTAATGAGTTTCTACCAATATACTAATGACGTTTGTACCAACTTCTACGTGGGGAAGCATACCAACTACGTGGTAATTTCATTATGAATGTTACACGAATATGGTCTTTGCAGAAAACGGATTAACCGATTTTGGCGCTCGTGAGCACTCGCACGTATAATTATGTGTTTAATTGTAATCACATTTTCAGTTCAGCACTCGTCCATTCCTATTGTCCGTAGGTTTAACTTTATTTTGCCTTAATTAATGAGTACCACTGAGGAAAATCATGCTACAAAATCATTTCGATGAATCTGTTCGTCATTCCTTGACTTTCTCATGACCTCTCGTGACTTTTCTTATCTATCATGTCACTCGTGTTATTGTCGGTTTCTAAGCACTAAACACCCGGTCGAACTTTATAAAAGGCAGCCTTATAGTTCCATCGAGTCTATAAAGTCTGATAGCTTCCTGTCAGATGGTACGTTATATATGATTTCTGATATACTCACGCTGACATACCTATCATTTCTAAGATATCACATATATAAAACTTGGTGCTATTATGTTTTCTTTCTCTCTTTCTCTTATCATTATTTTAATAATGAATTTAAATATTTTTTTTATTTACAATGAAATGCAAAATTTTTAAACTTAAAGTATATAGAATTAAATATTTAATCTTTTTATAAGTAAACCTCATATATATGTAAGGTAAACCACTAGTGGATCACTTTAAAAAAAAATTCATATTTTTAGCTAGAATAATATCAAATAATTAATAAAATATTTAATAGTCATGATTGATCATAAAGATTACATTACGGATGATTTTACCAGGGTTGTTAAAGTTATCATTTTTTAGTAATGTGTTACAGTTAGCGTTATTTGTGGTAAAAAGTAAATAATTCATTATTCATTATTCTAAAAAGCAACGCATTATTGTTACTTAAAGTAACGGAAAAATCATTATTTTTTTCGTTATTTTTCAAAAATTTGCATTTCTGTAATTAATTTATGTGTAATTAATTTATATAAATTATAACTATAACATAAAAACAAATCGTTTTTTAATTTATATTTATATTTTATTTTATATTTTTAGTTCTTTATTAGTTCTTCATTATGGTACATATTTTAATTTGCATCAGCACATATATCTTAATTTTAAATTATAATTAATTTGTATTGCTGAATCTTAAATTTTGTTTAATAATAGATAATTGTTCAATATGTCCGTCTGTTAGACAGTATCGACAATTTCGGCTTTTTGTATTACTTACTATCAGTACAAGTTCTGATTGGTCACTGCTTTTCTGCTTTCTGCTTTTCCATCAATGTATGAACACGTCCTTATTAAAATAATTGTATATTAACGGAAAAAATAATTGTATAATAACGAAAAAAGTAACGTAAAATTTCATTATTTCCTGAAAATTGTAACTTAATTATCGTTATTGTTACTCACTAGAAAAAGTAACTTCGTTACTCATTCATTACTAAAAAAAGTAACGAAATCAATAACTTCATTACTTTTTATATTACGCTAACAACCCCGGATTTTATTCCATTTCATTATAGTTTTATATGTTAATTTGAATTAAATAAAGTAATGACAATTATTCACAATTAGTACCCTACTAATTGCGGAATTCACGAAATGTTTTATCCTCTTTGGTGACGTTACTGCATCCCATAAAAGTAATAAAAATTATTTGCTTATGTATATCATAATATATATAATAAAATTATAATTGATGATCCACATCTAGTTATAAGATCTAATTGTGGATCATAATGCAATTTTATAACACATTCAATTATGTTTATTTAAAATTAGTGACAGTCAAAATCAATGATAATTAAAAAAAATAATAAAAATTAAACGTTTAGCAATAAAAAAACAGTAAAATTACAGTTAAATATTACGAAAAATAACACTTTTTGCATATAGACCCAGATATCCAAGTCTGTAAAAAGCAGATTTTTTAAAATGTTTTAAAATGCTACACATTATACCAACAAAATGACAACAGAATTAGATGTATATAACATGTACTGTTGATAGACTGCTAGAAAAAAATGTAACAGAATCTGCAAGCGTCAGATAATGTTAGCAGGATCTGCTCAGTTTCTGCCAACAATTTGCCTTCATATTATACTGATAGACGATGTTAACAGAACATAAGCTTAATGCGGATGGCAGTTGATGGCAGACTGTCATTTTCTGATCGAATTTGCTGGCAGTCTGCTAGAAGACTACAGATATTTGGCTATCTGGGGACATGTAGCTATACTATATTTTATATTCTATTTTGATATTTAAAACAAATCTTTTCGGAATGGCTCATTTATAAGATTTGACAAGTTTTTAAACATTTTTATAATAAATTTACGTAAAAATATCGTTATAACATAATGATTAAACAACACTCGCGGGTACATTTAATCTCAACTGAGCATAATGTTGATTTTTTCCATATAATCTAATGCTCTTTATTAAAAATAATAGCAATGCAACTTGCATTTGTGCGTTACCTTTAAGAAAACTATTCAAGAAAATTATTCAATTATATAAATAAGAAAATAGATTCATTGTTACTTTTATATCTTATATCATGTTATATCTTATATCAAACTCAAGTATTTTCCGTTAATTTTTATTAGAGCTTAATTACTAACTACTATAAAAGCCATAAGGCAATTCTTATGATATTGCATTTCGAATGAATTTTTAAAGATACATACATTAGTTAACTTCGCTGCACATTTAATTAGTTAAAGTAATGACATCAATAAAATGTGTAGCACTGTTCCTAATAAATTAAATTCAATTGATATTTGAAAGAGATAAAACAAAAGAATTTTGTGATATATACCATTTAATGGAAAATACTGTAATTATTTAAATATAAAAAGTGATCAGAACTAGTCACGTCTAATGTTTTTATCTTATATTCCTTTTTAGTAAAAACTTTATATATGTATATTGTATATTCCTTG